GATCGGGCACTCTCGAGGGTGTTTTTGGTGGATGTCACCATAGCGCATGACGAGATCCTCGTGAAAGCCGAAACAGAGAAAAAGAGAAAATATCTCGACCTGGCTCACGAGGTGACCGAAATGTGGGGGGTGACATCCACCGAAATCATTCCAATCGTTATGTCGGTGAACAGTCTTATCCCAACCAGTCTGGAACAACATCTCAAACAGTTGGGATTCCGAGGCAGCTCACTCCCAGGAAAGATGCAGAAAGCGGTGCTCTTAGATTCTGCCCGCATTGTACGCCGGTTTCTCTCCCTGGGGCCCTGAACCCCGGCCGACTGTGCTTCTGCCAGGGGTTAGTTTGCCATCTCCTCTCCTTAAGAGGGGAGATGTGAATTTTCTAGTTTGTTTGTTACCTCTTAGCGTCATAATGGGTTGAGTAATGACTTCGAATTTTGATGTACACGTATTATATAAGATTATGAAGATGATAGGCTACTTTTTACCTCGGTTACGCAGACGAAGTCGCCAGAAAAAGCTGTTAAAATTATAATTTTATTATGATATCATAAAACTCATATCATAGCTCTCTGAATAATGTGTTTAATTAAATCAAGGTCGTTATTACTAATTAATTATATTTATTTCTGCAAATTTTACGCAATTTAGACATCAAAATGTTGCTATGTCTTCTTTTAAGGACATCAAAGTAATTAAAATATGATGCTGTATTTTAATTATTAATATTACTAATTACACTTTGTAGATTCGTCTGTATGTGTAGCTTTGTCCTACACGAGTTTTTGTCCACAAACAGCTGCGTTTGCAATTGAAAGAAAGAAACTTTATTCTACAGAAATATGCGACTACACCCGCACACACTTTTTTAATTTTATAATATATAAATTATAAAATTAAAAAAGTGTGTTGTGTGCGTTAAATGATAATTAATGGAATGGTAACCTCGCCTGCGCTATCGGTGTACACTGGCGGGGCACCAGTGAGGATGAAAAAGCAGGTTAGTTAGCCCATCGTGACGAATTCAACGATAAATTAGTCACGATAGTTTCCAGGGGGAATCGCGTGGAGGTCGACGTGATAGAGTATATTGATAGCAATGGGGACTAATCTCCCCATTACTAACAATCCCTTCCCCTCTCTATGTTTGAGTTAGTTACTTTTTGTTTTCATTTAGTTTAAAAGAGAAGGTATTATGGGAAAAAATTGTAAGTGTTGGAGCTTTGTTCTTAGGAGTAGCAATGGGTACCCCATTGGGGCATATATGGGCAATACAGTGTATTCTGTAATATCAATAATACTGTAACCATTTGCCATCAGGTGGGCCGTCAGCTTATATGCCATTCCCTGTTGTATAATAAAAGCACTGTTGCAATTTCAGTACATTATTCGACTAATATATGTGCAATTAAATTTTAACTAAACCAATGTCTGTAGATGGGAGTTATTCAAGAAAAAATAATATGAGGGGCCTTAATAAAAACAGTAGATTTTTTTTTTTATAAGTTTTGTCCATTTGTCTATATTTTTGTTTCGGCATAACGCTAAGTACTGCCCAAATTAATTTTAAATGCAATAATAATGAAATATTACAAAATGCTTAAAATTAAGGATCAATTAGAATGTAGAAATTATGTAGGTATGGACTGGCATAGTACTTTGATCTCCGTGGAACTACTCTGCAGCGAATTTCTTGAAAGTTAGTTAGATAGGTAGACTGATATATAATTTATCACATGAGATGTCACACGCCAGCTGTACAGTTACAGAACTACGGTAATGTTTGTTTTACTCAAGCGGATTAATTTAACGTCAGAATAAGGGATTTTTCTATGCGATTGAAGTGGCCATATTAACGACTGACGACGATTCAATTTTTTCTTCACCAGCAGCGCTACAGCGGATTGATGCGTAAACTTGTAGATAAAACAGTGCCAGTGTGTAGGTAAAGAGGTATGCGAGGGAAATTCAAATGAGTTGAGCGAGCATAGATTAAAAATATTTATCAATTTTATATTAATAGATTTGGCACGACTAGTATTCACAGTTGTATATCTTAAGGTTTAACTTAAAATCTGGTATATATTTTATCTTGATACACTATCTAGAAATGAAATATTTCAATGATTTTTCATATAGTATAAAAATCTAGTAAGTAACGGTACTGTAAGTGAAAAGGCTTGTAGTAGGTATATTGTTAATTGAAAGAAAAATATGGTTAATGTATGTAAAGAAATAAACTGAACTAGATAAGACATAAAAAGTATCAAAAAAAAAATTGAATTAAAAAAAATAACCAAATCAAATAAACAGATACATCGTTAAGTGCTACTCTATATTTCACACTCCGTTTCCCTCCCTAGAGCTGGCCACAAATATTATCCATGCCTCAAATATATCCATTAAAAAAAATCTATGCCCATTCGAAAAAAGAACACTACATTCTATAAATACTAGTATATTTTATCTGAGAAGTTATACATGTTGGCTACATTTTATTTTAACGATAAGGAATTCCTAGTGGCCAGTGTTATAGTATTTGTTTTCATTTTCAGCACATTTTAAGTACCTACTCGGTTGCACTAAAAGCAAAGAGCGGAAACATTTTCATGAGTCGGATTCGCTGACTGAAAACAAACCTATGAACCTTTTCCCTTTTCACACGGAGCTTTTGTAAAAGAAAAATAGTCGAATAAATTTATATCAGAGCTCTTGCATTCGTGTGGAGAAATATAAAGGTTTCCAAAAATTACAATTACGTTCAAGTAACGTCGGCTGAGTTTTATAGTATAATTATGTTTTTAATATAATATTTTCCAATATTATTTATTTCGAAAAATAATGGTTTCTTCTGTAAAGGGATCAATTAGATCTTTAATTACAAATAACAATTTTCATTGTTGTTTTTTTCTTCAGTACAGGAACAATGTTTGAAAGAAATGATTCTTTTGTAACAACTTTTGAAAAATTGTTGTTATAATTGACAGAAAAAAAAACTATCAAGTGTAAATCCAACTATGTACTTATTAGATATTTGTAACTATAACTGTATTTCAAACCTTTTAACCATGTAATTTTAGACATAAGCATCTATATATGTTAACAGAGATTTAAAAGAGTAACGGTTGAGTTTCTTGCGGGCTCTTCGCAACAGATAACATCTTTCTGAACCCAGCAGAAGATTAAAAAAAAATAACGATTTAAAAGTACTTGTAGACAAGCCTATTTGAATAAAGAAATTTTGAGTTTGAATTTTTTATACAATACAATTTATATACAAATAGCGTACTTGTTCCGTCGTCTGTTGGTCTCCGTTACTTTTTAAGAGTCTTATATTTGACAATACATATAACAGGGGGGAAGGGATTGTTAAGTAATGGGGATTAGCAACCCCATTGCTAGCAATAAACCCTATCAGGTCGACCTCCTCGCGGTTTCCCCTGGAAACCATCGTGATTGGTTTATTGTTGAATTTGTCACGATGGGCTAACTGACCTGCTTCACCCTCATCTATCATCCCTCACTGGTGCCCTATACCAATAGCGCAGGTGGGGCTACCGTTCCATTATCATCCATTAAAAAAAGTACATATAACAAATTAGTAATAATTAATTACTGATGCCAATCTCATCATAATGTCATATTTAAAATAGCGACCCGTTTTGATTTGGCACGAGTGCAACAATAGTCATAATAATAAGTATTTTTTTTTTGCATAAATGTAGTTAAAATAGATATTAATCATTGCTGTCAATGTCTGAACTTTAGCAACATGGATTTTAATTATTTTATATATCAATTAACTTAACTTTATGGACACTCATTATTATATATGGTTTCTTTCATACATGTGCTTATATTACTTGCATGCATCCACTCTAACTTGCCTACCTCGCTTTGGAATCATAAATTTTGTTTGTATAAATAAAATCCGTTAATCACCAGAGGGAGACTTTGTACAAAAGTCGATTGCTTGGGTACCTCTGTCCCATTCGTGTTTCAACCGTGAAGCAGTTGTGTTTGCATGGCTGTGTTTCGGTTTGAAGGGTGGGATATGGCGTGAATTTACTGGGTACAGAGGAATAACACCTGAGTCCTCAGGAATGGCAACGCATGGGGGGTATCATGGGCGAAACAGTATACTCTGTTATGTCCATGGTACTGCTCATGTCTATAGGCGACGGTTACCACTTTCCATCAGGTGGGCCGTCAGCTTGTTTGCCATTCTTAGTTCTATAAAAAAAAAAAAAAAAAAAAAAAAAAAATTGGCTGTATTCATAAGAGACTTAGCATAAAAGTTATTTTTTAAGAGCTGTGTTATTTTTGTATAAAATAAAATAAAAAAAAAATAATTAGTGTAATAGAATCACATATTTACCCACATTGTTTTAATGGCGTGCAAAATTTAAAGTCTTATTTTTATGGATAAGTACATTTTAGATAAATAAAAATAATAAGTAACAAATAGCATGTAAAATTTTTAAAACAAAAAGATAAATTTATTTAAATAACTAGTTACAATTTCATTTGAATAAACAATGTAGAAACGTGGTGTCAGTGTAAAATGATGAAAAATTTTATATTACAGCCGTCTAAATAGATTACTAAATTTCATAGAATTAGTATATTTTTTTTTAAATATTAAATTAGTTATAAATAAATTAAATAACATCTTTTTATTTCAGATGCATACCAACTCATAGTTTCCATTCATTAGTGTAATTTTATTTGAATTAATTATAATTACTACATTATACAAGTAATAAATAATAAAATATGAATTAATTAATAATTATAGAAAGCTTTTTATATAATATAAATATATGCCGTTATTTATATATTAATAAAGATATACCGAAACATAATTTCCATGCACGAGTATATCAATGTAACATCCCTCAGATAAAACACAATACGTGTCCGCAGCAATAATCGCGAATGGGAATTTAACCAAGCGAGAAAATCACAAAGAAATCTCACACACGCTTCCTTTTTTTCAGGTACTCGAGCGGCCATCCCGCACAATGGCGTCTTATATCCGAAATTTACATACGACAAGCCCTTTCATCCTAACAAAAGAGATAAACCTCACTTAAACGCCCAAGTTGACAGAATGTGAAACATGAAAGTGGAAGTCGTGTTGAGTATTGGAGCAGGCGACAATTTCACATTGGACTTCAGAGATTTGTCAACATCCATGTATTTGACGGACACGTACGTGAACAAGACGCTGGAGCTGAACGAGACCAGCAGCGACCTGGTGTACGCCAACCAGTTCGAGGACGATCCGATCGTGGTGTTCTTGGTCGTGTTGAAATGTGTTGTGATGCTGTTCATTATATTGGCTGCGATATTTGGCAATTTACTAGTGATCGTGTCGGTGATGAGACATAGGAAACTACGGGTGATCACCAATTACTTTGTCGTCTCCTTGGCGTTCGCCGACATGCTAGTGGCTATTTGGGCGATGTGCTTCAACTTCAGCGTGGAAATAACGAATGGCAAATGGCTTTTTGGTTATTTTATGTGCGACGTTTGGAACTCTTTAGATGTTTACTTCTCAACAGCTTCGATACTCCACTTGTGCTGTATCAGCGTGGACAGGTACTATGCGATCGTCCAACCGTTGGATTACCCGCTGATTATGACGACAGGGAAGCTCGGGATCATGCTCGCTGTCGTTTGGTGCAGTCCCGCCTTGGTTTCCTTCCTCCCCATCTTTATGGGTTGGTACACGACAGACGATCATATGGACTTTAGGAAAAAGTATCCAAAAGTGTGCAGTTTTACAGTGAACAAAGTGTACGCGGTAATATCGAGTAGTGTTAGTTTCTGGATTCCTGGTGTAATTATGTTGTTTATGTACTATAGAATTTATGTGGAGGCCGATCGACAGGAGAGGATGTTGTATAGGTATGTGTTTATATGTATATATTTAGTAATATATTAGTTTTAAGGTTCTATAAGTAAATATGCTCACGACCGTAATAACTTATGGGGTAGTCATTGATAATGGATTGGTAACCCCGCCTGTGCTAACGGTATACGCCAGCAGGGCGCTAATGAGGCATGTTAGGTGAGAATGAAAAGGCAGGTCAGTTAGCCCATCGTGATGAATACACGTGGATTTCAGCACAATAGTTTAGGATAGCATCGAAGAGAGGTGGATCTATCAGGGTATACTTTTTTTATACCACTGAGGTGGCAAACAAGCATACGGCCCACCTGATGGTAAGTGATTACCGTAGCCTATGAACATCTGCAATACCAGAGGTATTACGCGTGCGTTGCCGACCCTGAAGAAACCTCTTAACCCCCCTTTTGAAAAACCCCATGCTGTAGTCTCTTGGGAAAACCTCGGTAGGGAGCTCATTCCACAACCTGACTGTTCGTGGGATACTGCTAGCAACGGGACAAGTAGTCCCTTCCCTCCTTGGGGTAGACATTGGCTGACTGTTACCATTGTTTTCCACGTAAGCCTTACTACCTTCACATATCTTTGAGCATATATGAATCTAATGAGACAGGGGGTGAGCGTATTCAAATATTAATTCCCTCGAATAATGGTATTTTTCAATATCGAGAAGCTAGTTGAATTTTTAAATTAAAATGCAACGCTTCTGATGTCTGCTAAATTCAAAATTACGACTTTTCAAGTTCAATCTATTTTTGGGTCCCTACTTTTTGATAATAATCATTTAACATGTATATATGATGTATGATTAGTGTATGAATGAATCTATAAATGTATGAATTTTATTGCTAAAAATTAGTGTTACAATAAGGTCATATGGTAGTAGTACCTCTCTACGCTATATATTTTTTTTTATATCTCTAATAATTATCGATTTTGCACATAAGAAAGGTAATAAATTCCATTCACCTTGTGCAGGGTCAGAGTTTATTACCTGCTTTGTAATAAAAAAAAATAATAAAAAAATTAAAAGCGACATTTAGATTTTGATCATAATAAAGGACCTGGCTGAGAGATCGTAATCGTTACAACGCGAACAAGTTATGAAGACAATAAACAAAAAAGCCGCCACGCCCACGATTGTGTTCCTTGGATTTTCATAACGGGAAACTATTATATGTCTATTAGGTATATTCAAAGATTCTGTCATAGAAATATCACTACAGAGTACAAAACAAAGTCGCTTCCCGTCTGTCTGCCCCTATGTATGCTTAGATCTTTAAAACTACGCAATGGATTTTGAAGCGGGTTTTTTTAATAGATAGAATGATTCAAGAGGAAGGTTTATATGTATAATACATGCATAATATAGTAGAGAAACACTGATAATTTTAGAGGTTTGTAATGTGATGTAATGTGCATCCGTGCGAAGCCGGGGCGGGTCGCTAGTTTTTAAAATAATTGAAATTTATACATATTAAATCTAGTAGATAATTTTTTTATGCAACTTAAAATGGCTAACAGGCTGACGGCCCACCTGATGGAAAGTGGTAACCGTCGCCTATAGACATGAGCAGTACCGTGGACATAACAGAGTATACTGTTTCGTCCATGATACCCCCCACGAGTTGGCATTTAAGATTGTGTCCCACTAAACAATCCAACTTCAAATCTGACATATTATTTTGATTTCAAAATAAAATTTATGAACCGATTTTTATAAAATTTCTATAGGACCAATCTGTGAATATATCCTTTCAGATAAAAAAAAATCTAGATCCGTTTAGAACTGATGGAGCTATGACATAGCAAACAAAAAATATAACCTCCTTTTTAAAGTCGATTGAAAAGCAAATACCTTTTTTTTTCACTGCCATAAGGATTGCCAGATATGATTTTGTAATTTTTTGGGCGAATCTCAAAAAGATTTCTTCAAATTTACACGATTTCATTCATTTTGCCGATCACAAAGTGATGGTTTTCCATTACATTATGTCATGGAACTCCACGCTTATTTCATTTTTCACAAAAAGTTCGCGATTTAAAAAAAAATTGTAAAAATTTCGAAAAAGTACCCAAGTAAGTAATCATTCTCGTCATCGGCCATTAACCGTTCCCTGCTGAACATAGACATCCCCCATAGATTGTTATAATGTACGGTCCAAGAGGGCATTATGTCATATCTTCTATTTCAGTATTTTTTTTAATGGGCGATAATGGAATGGTTGCGGGGTAACCTCAAGGGTATATTGTTAGTTATTACTATTGGGCTATTTCACTCCATTACTATCAAACCCTTTCCCCCCTCTATTTCAGTATCAGGTATTATCAAAAATTATTTTCAAATTTAACTTAGATTTTAGATAGAAATTAACAAAAACCAAATGTAACTTAGATATGTGCAAAGTATAAAATTGCGGTGTGTGTCCCGGCATAGAATGGGCCACCCCTACCTTTCCCGTGTGTGTCGTAAGAGGCGATTAAGGAGGGCGAGGAATGGTTAGCACTGTCCCTCTTGAAATATTTTTCACTTATATTACTTCTTGGTGTTTTAATGGCCTAACGAAGTGTTAAATTGTCTAAAGACTAGTGCTAGGGCTATAGCTAGACCCAAGTTTAAAGTAGGACAAAATAACTTTTTGATAGGGCAGAAGTCATAATTAAGTGACTTCGAAAAAGCGAATCTATATAAATAAAATATATTTATCTTGGGGTACTTCATTTTAAGGTAGAGCATTGAGCCTTTTAAGGTAAGGAATTACCCCTCAATTATCTTAATTCTAAGGATTTTTCCTTGTGATTAATTATATTTTTTTATAAGTTTTCCATTATAGTATGTTGAAGGGAATCAATAATAATATCCTACATTTGGAGTCGGTTGTTTTATTATCAAAATTAATAACCTTATAATAGAGGGCTACGCCAAGTTTAATTAGATCCCATAGTTTATTACATGAACAGACATCTGACACAAACATTATCTATAGTTGTTTTTGATTGACAGATGAGTTTTCCTGGAAGATCGCAGCGTTAAATAGTTAAGCTCGCTTTTTCTACATCTTTTACTTTTATATTACACTTGGTGTTTTCCGCAATTATGCGTGATTTAGTATATAAAATATATAGTAGTAAATTAGAATATAATCTATTCATGTACTTAATTTCACTCAAATCTGTTCAGCAATTTAAATGTGACTGAGTCACCAACATGCAAACATCTTAATTTCTTATGTGAAGTAAAGAATTTGTTATGGATACAGACTAACTGTATTTCGCGGTTCCGTCCACGTAACTACATAAAGTAAATAGTACGTAAACTATACAATGTGCTAACTTAGAATATAAACTACATTTGTACCAAATTTCATTGAAATCCGTTTAATAGTTATTGCGTGAAAGAGTAACAAACATCTATCCATCAATTGTTACATATTTTCGCATTTATAATATTAATAGGATTTATTTCTTAGGACTCCATTATTATTATAACTATTAGTAGACAATAAAAAATCTGATTATTTACTAATAATGGTCTACCGATCTCTCATTACGAACATCATTTACGTCATGCCGTCAGTCAGTCATTGACAGTGACAGTGATTAGGGGATCCATACATGATCTTACAACAAAACCATTATCAATGAAATTGAATGATTTTTCTCAAGAAACAAAGAGAAATACATCTAATATATAAAATTCTCGTGTCGCGGTGTTTGTCACCAAACTCTTCCGAAACGGCTTTACCGATTTTTATGAAATTTTGTGTGCATATCGGGTAGGTCTGAGAATCGGCCAACATCTATTTTTCATACCCCTCAATGATAAGGGTGACCCACTCCTAAATATTTTTTAAAAAAAAATTCACAAATTTATTTTGATTTTATTATGATTTAGCATGGAAAAATACATACAAATTCAAATTTTCACGCTTTTACGATCAACTCCTGTTTTTTAAATCGCGATTTTTATATGCCGTAATAGGGTTGCAAGATGACAATCGAATATAATAATTTTAGTACGATATATTTTTATGTATAGTTCTAGAAATAATGTTAATGGTAAAACAACGTTTGCCGAGTCAGCTAGTTGTACTATAAAAAGCCAAATAGCCGAGAAACAGAATGTTCTTAAAATATTCCCCTCTGAGGTGTTGTTCGAAGAGTGTTTTAATTTTTAATATTTCACTTAAATTTTCAGCTTTTATCAAAGTTGCGGCTTTCCTCGTAAATTATAAAGGTTATAAGACTCCTTAAAATAGCTATAAAACCATTATCTCATTTTACTTGTGTCTAAAAAGAGTATCATTATTTCAGCTATAATAAAATAGTACCTAGAGGACGTCTGTACATAGGTGGTATTTAAGAAGTCATGGATCTTTATACGACTGGTAGATACCTAAACAATTTTTTTTACGAATTATATCTATCTGTCTGTATATTTGTTCCTTCATCACAAAAAATCTACTGCACCACTTTCTAACTACTGTCTAACTAAAAATCTGGTGTATGTTTAATCTTAACACGCTATCTAGAAGTAGTTTACCAAAGGGAAACTTTGTATAAAAGTCATTTACTAGGGCACCTCTGTCCCATTCGTGTTTCTACAGTGAAGCAATTGTGTTTGCATGGCTATGTTCTGGTTTGAACGGTGGGATATGGCAGTGAATTTACAGGGTATAGATGAATAACACCGGAGTTCTCAGAAATGGCAAAACAAACAAACAAACAAAACAAAAGGCCAGCAGCACACCTGCAATGCCGTTGGTGTTGTGGGTGACCGTGGGCGGCGGTAGTCACTTACCATCAGGTGAGCCGCATGCTCGTTTGCCCCCTGTGTTGTAAAAAAAAGACAGGGATACCCAAGCAAACGACTTTTGTACAAAGTCTCCCTCTCTTACGACACCCACGGGAATGGAAGGGATATTTATGTACTTACTTAACCAAATTATAGAAACTTATAATTCGGTTTTATATCCCAGTTTTATGGTGACTGTTGCAA